TTTTTTTACTCGAAACTTAATTCAGTGATCACGATGAATGTTCATATCGTTATGTGGCCTCCTTATAAGGGCAGAAGGACAAAGTTGTGGTTAAAACACACGACCATGAGTCAGAAATTCTATTCCATGCTCTGCCACAGAATTCCTCCGTGACATAAGGCAAGTCTTTTAATCTGTGTTCTCAATTTCTTTCAGCTTTAAAAACCAGTGATAACATCCCTTTCCTAAATTATAGATTGGCCTGAACAATAAGACAGGAAAATAAAGGAGCCAATTTTCCTCTAACAAGCCCCCTGGACAGCATGAACGATGTAATGATAACAGGCTTTCTGGACACAAACACTGGGTGATTCAAGACCCCATCACAAAAAGCACTTTACAAGATGGAATTGTGGGCGTGCAGTAAATATATCTCCTGGTGAGCAAGAGGAGGAGGGCTATAGTTAATTTCATTTTCTTTATTTATGACATTTGTATTAGATAGTTTTGTATGCAGTCTATTAATTGTTGTCTATGTATGCTGCATATTTTTTCATTAAATAATATTACTGGCTACTTCTAATTCTGCTGAATAGTACATATCATGTATATAATCCTTTGAGTAGGCTGCAGTAAAATTAAGATTTTGAACTCTAAAATTCAAAGCTGTTTCATAGATTCATAGATGTTAGGGGCTGGAAGGGACCTCAAGATCATTATGTTCAGTTGGGCAGGAAAGACTGCTGGGGTCAGATGACCCCAGCAATGTGCGTGTCCAGACATTTTTTAAAGATATCCAGAGTAGGTACCACCTCGGGGGGGGGGGGAGTCTAAAGAAGTTTTTCCTCATGTCTAATCTAAAGCGGTCTTCTAGCAATGTATGACCATTAGTCCTAGTCTCCCCCTGGGGAGCCCTGGTGAACAGACACCCTTCCAGTCCCTGATGTGCGCCCCTTATATACTTACAGGCTGCCATCAAATCCCCTCTGCGTCTTCTCTTCTCCAGGCTGAACAGACCCATGTCTCTCAGCCCTCATCATATGGCCTGCTCTCTATACCTCTAACCATATGCAGAGCCCTTCTTTGGACCTTCTCAAGCCTCTCCACATCCTTCCTGAAGTGTGGCGCCCAGAACCGGACACAGTACTCCAGCTGTGGCTTCCCTAAAGCCAAGTAAAGCGGGATGATATCCTTAGTCATCTGAGGTCCATCGGTAGAGGCATGCTAAGTGTTTTTGTTTGCTTCGTCAGCTACAGCATTGCATTGGTGGCTCATGTTCATTCTATGGTCTATCAAAATCCCCAGGTCTCTTTCAGTTGTGGTGCTAGTAAGCGTAGCACTGGTATATTGCAGGTTATTTCTCTCCAGGTGGCGCACTTTACACTTCCCGTGTTGAACATCATCAGGTTTTGATCTGTCCACCTTGTGAACCTGTCCAAGACAACCTGTATCCCCAGCCTATCCTCCAGCGTGACCACAGTCACCCTTAATTTGGTGTCATCTGCAAACATTGCCAGTCCACTTTTAACACCCAAATCCAAATCATTAATGAATACGTTAAAAAGCACCAGTCCAAGTACTGAACCTTGAGGGATGCCATTGGTCACCAAGCACCATGGTGACTCAGTTTCATCTATTATTACTCTCTGGGTCCTGGCTTGGGACCAGTTTCCTAGCCACCAGACCATTGGGTTATCGAGGCTGCAGTTTCCCAATTTTACCATGAATATAGGCAAGGCTGATGGAAAGCCTTGGTCCTGTTCCATTTTTGGGCCTATATTCTCAGGGCCACCCAAAGCCAGATTGTGAATCCCTTCCTCACAAAAAGTGAGCAGTTACTTACTCAAGGAGTCCCATCAGTTCCAGTGGGATAACCTGGGGAAGTAACCGCAAATCTTATATTCATACCAGTGAGCAGTCAGGCCCCTGAACATATAGGGCTACCCAACATCTTGATATGATGGCTGTGGGGCACCCAGCAACATGGTATTCAGAGCAGGTTCACAGCTCATGTATATGCAGGCTTATACAAGCCTCACTTACATCTCTACCATGACATCTTCACTGATATTACAACCCATGCTACCTAGATTAAAACAAACCCAGGTGCTGCTACCCATACAACCTAGACATGATTTAAGACCCTGATCCTAGAATTAGAACCATGGCTACACACACCCACAGACCCAGCAAGAGCCTCAGCATCCTCCGATGATATGAAAGTACCCTCAGCAATACAATTTCCGAATGACCAGGGACTGCACGCTTCAAGCTACACAATGTGTGGGCAACAGGTCCCCTGACCCATATTTCATGCAGGCTGTGCAGACTTCCCAAGCCTCCATGGGCTGTGCTGCCCTGCCCCTTGGAACAAGGAAGGAAGCAGAACAACAGAAGGAAAGCTGGGTGGTGACTGGGAACCCACAACTTGTGAGTATATGGCCTGTTGGCACAGAAAGTATAAACTACCTGGGAGAAAAACTGAGATCCTGAGAGTTGGGCAGCCCTGTGCTAAGACATCCATGATTTTCTTGTTGTTTTCCAGTGCATCTCTGGTTGATCACAAAGCCTCTGACAGTTGATCTCAGTCTGCTGCTAGGACCAGGTCAGGGGATTGGGATGATCCCCTGCTGTACCCCTACCACTGGGGGAGTGGGGCCCCAGCCGGGCTGGGTGGTGGGACGTTTGGAGCCCGGGCAGCTCATCCAGGCACATGGGCGGGGGGGACAACTCCTGCCGCTGCATGCACCTCAGTGGAGGTCCAGGGGCTACATGCCCCCACCCCAATCTGTGTGTAGGGTGGAGGCAGCCCAGCTGTAGCTACTCCAAGAGCAGCGTGACGCTGAGCCGCACCCCCTTGTCTGCCCGGTGGTGGGACACACATGGCGTTGCACCGTTCCCAGGGCAGCTGCAGTGGGGCTTGGGGTGCACAGCCCAGCATGCAGCGGCAGCCACCTCCACCCCGCGCACAGATTGGGGGAAGCATGCGTCCCCCAGGCCTCCATAAGGCTGCGTGCAGCAGCAGGAGACCCTTGCGCACCTGAAAGAGCTGCCCAGGCTCTGATCTTCCCACCACCCAGCCCCCTGCCCCTGCCTCTGGCCCACTCCCTCCCTCACCACAGGGGCCTCAATCTGCCCCGCCTATACCTTCCCTCCCTCACAGACTGACCTGCTGGGTGGGGGGTGGCACACAGTAGATCCCGGGTTGGACTTTAATTCAAAAAGTGAACTCGTACTTAAAAAGGTTGGAGAACACTGCCTTAAAATAAATACTACTCCCGTAAGCAGAATGCCTACCCTGCTGGCTTCTGCAGGCATGTTTGGTTCCCTGAGGAGCTGCTCAGCCAGCTCTCCCAAATAAAACACGCTCTTTAAGCAACAAACAAAAACAAGCCCTTACACCCTATCCCAGGCAGCAGGACAAGAACCCTTTGGATCTGGCCCCAATGCTACTTGCCCCCCCTCCCCACCACTCTACTCACAACTTGCTTCCTCCTCCATTGCTTGCTCTTCTGGGAGCTTGTTAAAACTCTTAGCAGGACACTCCCTTCCCAGTCAAATGCCCTACAGCTGGGCTCTCTCAACATGGCTGACTGTTCTCTCATAAAGGGATACATCAATCTGCTATAATTCCTTATAAAAATAGCCAAAGCAAAACCATCTTGCATTGTAATCTAAACTAGAGATTGGAGAGGGTTTCAGTAGGTCATGACTGTAATCTATAATGCTGCTGTTGCTGAAGAAGTGTTAGTCTAAACCAAAGACTTGTATGTTGGCTTCCTTAATCTTTGTACGCATGTCCGCCTGCCCATCATGAGGTGCTCAGCACTCACCACTACAATTCATGGCAGTAGAAGCTGTAGTTGCACAGCACCTCAGACAATCACACTCTCAGCATTTCAAGTGTGGCTTCCAAAATTGATGGGCATTTGATTTTCAACATTACCCCTCTGGGCAGTTTACATCTCAATTCTGTGGGGGTTAATATCCCATGTGGCTGTTGTGTTTAATCGATGTGTTTTACACTGATGCAAGATTCTTTGATCAGAAGGTACCTGGAGTCTAAATAATATTTCAGTTATGACAATAAATTCAGTAAGATGCAATTAGGGCTAATTTGGCCCCATTACCTAGGAACTCACAAATGGGAAGGAAAGACAGTACATTAGCCCTGGCTCTACTCTGTTGACTCTGACTGAAATAGTGTCACTAACAAGACTGTTTTCATAGTCACTCCATACAGATACATTGCTTCCCTGTCTTTCTCCAACATGCAAAGTGCTTGGGATAAATGAAATAACATCCTTTGGCCAAGCACTGTTGCCAGCAAAGTAGATTCAGGTACCATCAAATATATGGAGCAAGAGAACCAAAGCCTGAGCTATAGGGATTGAGACAGGGCATGGGGTTCAGGAGGTACTTTACCTGGTTCATCTGGAGTGCTCAAAGCCCTTCCCAAGAATTCATAGACTTTTAAGGCAAGAATAAGCCATTAGATCATGGTTCCCACGTAACACAGGTCAGAGGGGTCTATTCAATTACTCCTGCACTGAGCCCAGTAACTTGTATTCAACTAAAGCATATTTTCCTGAAAGGCACAATATTACTATCCACATTTTAATGATAGGAAAACTGAGACACAGAGCAGGGAAGTGAATTTGTGCACGAAGCTGCTGAGCTCCAAAAATCCTCACAATATTGTCCCTCCTGTTCTCTTTCCTTCCTATCAACCACTACCTTTAGCTTTCAGTCAGGCTAGCTGAGACCATCTTATCACTCCAGCCATGTCCTGACTCCCCAACTGGTTTCCTTTGCTAGTACTATGCTTTGCCTGTCACTGATAGAGACAGTACATCCAGCAGGAAGGGGACTATCTCCTCTTCGCTGCTCCTTTTCCACTCATTTTTTCTTAACTCACTGGTCTCCTTTCCCCCATTTACCATCACTGTCTTCCCCTCTCCCCTTACTTCACTCTTTGTAAACAGTGGCTGTGCAGGAAGGCACAAGTGAACCTGACTGACCTCAGATGCTTTAGAATTCAGTCTTCCCAGCCAGGAGGTTGTCGTGGGCTTCCAAAGCACAGCAGCCTTTTCCCACTGGACTCATTATTAGATGGCACGGATAGGGGTGGGCTAGCAAGTCCTGTTGCTACAGAGACAAGAAGACATGTGTTCATGGACTGCAGCTCTCCTCAGCAGGCCCTTGCACTGTGCTTGTGCTTCTCCAGCACCTCTCCTGGCAGGATGGCGAAGTACCTCACAAACAGGAAAGCAAGCTTCAAGACAAACGCTGGCATATCATTAGCCCCAGTTAGGGTGTGAAAGAGCAGACCGAGAGCACTGCCTGCCGCAGGAGCACTCAGAGAAAAAGAGGGGCGTCTAGGGAGAGACATGGGGGTTAGATCGGGGCTCGGATGCTGTCTAGCATGCAGGGACTGAACGAGCGTGGCGCTAGGACGCTCCTTCTCATTGAAAATCTTCGGCGAATGAGGAGGGGAAATACGATCATACACAGCCGGGGACGGTGGGGGCAGTAGGCTCCTCGCTCACTCCGGGACTAAAGGCTGTCTATTGGCACCGCACCCGGCGATCGGCAACCCGCCGCGGCCTCTCCGCAGCTCCACACGGGGCCGGCATTCACGTGCAGCACCGCAGACCCCAGCGGCAGCTGTTACTCCGGCGGCGGGCGGGCCCCTTTGTGACGTCACAATCAGCTGTTTGAACGTTCTAATTTCTGAGCTGAGCTCAGCTGGGGGAGCAGCAATAACAGGAAAATAAGAATAGCAGCTCTGCAGGCCGGGGAGGGTCCGGACCCAGCAGCTGTCACCGCCCGCCCTGGCAATGGTGTATCTCTTCTGAGAAGAGCAGAGACCCCAGCAGCACCGCCGCCTCCCTCATCCTTTTCTTGTCTCTTGGATTTTTCGTTGACCCGGTCGCTTGTTGATTTCAATTAAAACTACCTCACAGACTCTGCCTAAAGCCGGTGCTTTCAGATACTTAATCTTGTGGGTTTTCCTGTGGTCTTGTTGTTTACAAAACAACCGATGACATTAAAGGCAAGGTAAGTGTCGTCCTCTCCGGACAGGGCGCGGAGGCGGGCTGGGAAGTCAAGCTTGCACTGATCACCGAGCCCCTTTGTGCGGTGGCCCATTCCCTGAGCCACCATCTCTGTGGACCGCCGAGCCCCTTGCGATCTGCGCCTGTCCTCGCATTTCAAGGCCACCCCTGTGTCCGGGCCGGGTGGTTTCAGGTCTCTGTATTTCTCGCGCTGCGTGCGGCGAGGGACCGCTCTTTGTGCTTCGTACGCGGTGTGCATTGTGCTCCAAGCCGTGCCCAGCGGCCGGATGGGACAGCAGAAGGAACGGGCTCGTGGCCGAGGCCGGGAGACATGAGGACAAAGAGGGGGAGGTTGGTCTTTTGTTGCTACAAGCCGCGGTCTCGGGCCGGAGCAGCGAAGGCGCTCGGGACCCGTCTGTCTCCAATGCGCAGGAACCTCCCTCGGCTCGGCTCGGCTCGGCTCGCCGGGCGGGGGCGGGGGGATGCCAAGGCAGGTCGGCGGGAGCAGATTGCTTGTTGCATAAGCAGCGATTGCCTCGGCCCAGCTGGGAAACAAAAGACCCAGCAGCGAGGCCCCGGGCCAGCTTCTGGCCCCCGCTCCAGCTGCCTTTGTCTCCACTGTCGCTGACCGGCGCAGCGCTGCGGGGCCCCGGGGTAACTGCCCCTGCCCGGGAGGAGGCGAAGCGCCTCCAGGTCGGCCCAGGCGCGCGGCGGGGAGCGGAGCTAGCTGCGGCTCCAGCTCTGGGGCGGCGCGGACCGCGCACCAAGGAGGCCAAGTTTGTGCCTGGCTCGTTCCCTCCGCCGCCCCACCGCGGGTCGGCTGCGCTGGGACGGGATCGGGGGGAGAGAAGGGGCAACTGCCCCAGCCCTGCTTTGCCACGCAGCGTCCTCCCTTCTGCGGGCACCAGCATCGCGCCTGCCGGGCGGAGCCCCGGCCCCGCCCGAGCACCCGGAGCAGAGCGGCTCCCTCCCCGGGGCCAGGCCTCCCGGTCAGGGCTCGGGCTGCGCGCTCCTGGCGCCGCCTCCTCTCCACTCGCCTCCCTTCTCCTTGTTTGTTTCTTCATCAACGGATTCGGATGAAAAGCTCATCTCTGTCCCCATTGGCTCGTTGGGATTGGGAGCCTATGGTGACGTGGCCTGATTTGCATTTGACATTGAGACGTCATCAAGGCCAGCCCTCCCCCACCCACGCACACTGAACTGTCCTCCCTTGACCTGTGCGGAGGACTGCGATGTGCTCAGTGTCGATACTAGTGCAGTCCGCCGAGATCTTTGGAGGCAAACGGCTTTGCCTGGCTGAGGCTGAGCCAGACCAGAGAGTCCGGTAGCCAGGACAATTAGGTTGCTGAAGTTGGGGAGTAAATTACCCTTAATAACAGCCCTGCTGCTGGCCACAACTCGGGTTACTTTACGGCGCTGTTATTTTAAAATGTAAGGTATATAATGTGCTAGCTAATTTTACATCTGTCATCAATCAAAGCCGATCTTTTCTTCCATACCATTAACATGTCACGACCAACCGAGCATCTAAGCTAGTGAACTGAGCAAGATGAAAAAGGGTTTATGTTAAACATAATATAATGCCTAACCCATTATGTGTGAGGTCAAATAAAATTAGCTGTCAAATAAAATAGGAAGTTCTTTTTTACTGACTGCCCTCTGGGACACGCAGCTCTATGTAAAAATCCTTCAAAACTATGTTTCAGTTGCTCAAGAAAATCTGACCTAAAATTTTCATGTGTCCTTCCTCCACAGTATGAAGGTATTTACATGCAATCCATTCAGCCTGGTGTAATAATTGCTTGGGTCAGTGACACTGTCGAAGGAAACAGACGCTAGAGCAGGGGTCGGCAACCCCAGCATGGGTGCCAGAGCATGGCATGCAAAGCATGGGCGACTGGTGCCTCCCAATTTTGGGGGGCACCAGCGGGGCATGATGGGGGGGGGGCTCCTAGCAGCAGGCCACCCAGGGGGGGCAGTCCCCCAGCAGCCGGTCAGTGAGTGCACCAGCAGTATGGCGACAGTGGAAGTGCTGGCACTTCCATGTACAGCAAACTGCCCAAACGTGATGTGATGCTGACAGAGCCAATTTCAAGGAGTGCTCACTCTCAGTGGGGGCATGTGGCCCCCTGTGTCCCACCTATGCATCGCCTATGATGCAAAAGCATTTTGCTTGGCATGTGCGCCTTCGGGAGGATGGTGGGGAAGGGGCTGGGGCTGTGGCTGCACTGCTGCAACAAGGATTGGACCCCTCACGGCTCCCCTGCCAGCTGCCCTGGCATGCCAACATCTTACAAATTAAGGTTGCGGGGTTTTTTTGGCACTCAGCCCAAAAGCATTGCCGACCCCTGAGCTAGAATTTTCTGTGTATTTAGTTAAGTGGCTAATTGCATTGTTGGACAAACATTATTTGAAGTTTCCTGAATAACTCGATTTTGGGATTTGAGATTTGGAACATGGATCAAGTGTTTTCCTGAACTGGGTGTCCTTCATTTTAGTCCTGAGCCTTTTAAATAGGCCTTGACAGCTTGACAGAGATGCAGGGACAGGCCCTGAAATATTGAGTAAACTTCCCCAGTGTAGAGAAGGTTGTGGCATATAACAACAGCTCCCTGTTCAGCTGAAGGGGTTTTAGAAGCTGTGTAGACAAAGCTCTGGCTATTGAACCTGTTTAGTACCATTTCATTTACACCTATTTCTCAGGTGGTAAATGTCAAGTCACTAGAGCCAGGCTTTCATAAAGACTTACTACTCAGCAGCTAAATGAATCTTGCAGAACAATGGACACATGTGGGTTCTGATGGTTTTGAAAATATGGCACCAATGATGTAGTCTTAGCAACTGGAAGCTGGCCTTCAGGCTCTCACCACGAATAACACTGGGAAGCTGTTGGACATGATGATAATCACTTTTGTACATTTCTCCATTATAAACAGAATCCCAGGGCAGTTTCACATCTCTTCTTCCCCTCCCCTTCCCTTCCCCCCCCACCCCTTCCCTACCCCTCCTCCCGGCAAAGGAATAGGTACCACCTAGGCCCCAAGTTCAGGCTTAAGGCAGTGAGAGGTAGGTTAGCTGTCCTAATTTGAAGTCAGGCAGATAAAATAGACTGTTGCCTACCAAACCTCATGCCTCTCTGAACCAGTCAGTCTCCAAGGTGCTACCCTGCCCTGCCTTCTGCTAAAAGCAGTGTTCACATGACAAGAAATACCCCTTGCAAACAATGGATGTCAGTAAGAAACCAGCTCAATAAGCACTGAGCACTTTTATACAAGTGTAGACAAGAACACAGTAGGCAGTAGAACCCTGGTTAAAATGGGTAGGGCTTCTGTGCTTATGGAGAGGGGTGCATTTCATCCCATTCAAGCTTTTCATTCTTCCATACTTAGTGCCAGTATTATCAAGAAAAATCCTGCCCTAAAACAAATGTTCTTTCATTCTCTTCCCATTTTTCCTACAACACAAGAGAGATGGATATATCTGCTCTAAAAAAACTACTAGTCAAACACATATTTCATAATGTAATCAAAATTCAGGAATCTCTGAATGTGAACATAAAGAGAACAAAATATCAGAATTTTTTAAGGCACAAATATCTAGTGTCTGCTGCCAAGACAAAATATAGATTTTATCAAAGAATCTCTTTGCCTCTTATTCTGCAGTTTGTTTTGCACAGACAGCCCATATTCCACCCATCGTCATTCTCACCTGAGGCACAAATAGATTTTAAGCAGATAGAAGTACCATACAGAGTTTACTGCAAGATTGGGAACTGTTGCATCTTGAAAGTATGACTATCAGGTACTCAGTCCTCACATGGTTTACCATAATGCCTATTATATTCCTTTAAGATGCACTTTTAAAAATGGCCTGCATAATAAATTCAAGGAAAGGCTAGAACAATCTCTTGTGCATCAGATGTATCTTTATTTTATGTTTTATTTTCTTCCTTAAATTGAGAGAAAAAAATTTGCGTTCATCTGGAATTCAAGGTTGTCTTGTATTTGAAGGAATATGATATTGGCCTATTCATCACTTATGCAGTTACGCACAGTAATATTCTTAAAGACATGCATCAAATGGAGAAAAACAAAGTTCACAAGTAACACCTTGGCCCATTTGTATATCCCTGCCTTTTGAAACAATCTTTGAAGTCCACCAATGAATATTTTTCTAGATACATCATATGTGCAAGGAATTAAAATAAGGGATAGGTAAAATTAATCCTCTGACCTTAGTCAAGCTACATGAGAGACAAATTTGACTTGGTGTGTATTGTACTATGTAACTACCCAGGAATTTACACTTAACTTGGCTTCTCATACATCCAGGTGAGGATATGCCCCCTTCAGGTACAGAAAATGGTCCATTTGGTTCAGCAAGATGTGAGGGAGAGGATTCTTAAAGAGGTATCTGCCAGTGGAAGATGCCAATGTTTTTGGAGAGAAAGCATTCCTTTCATGTGTTACTACCACCACTATAAAGTAGTCAAGGTGCTTACTTGAATCCTTTCATTTGTTTTTAACCATGCAGAGTGTTTATTCACGTCTTGCATTTCAGTTGGCTTAAGCGATGAAACTGAATGGTCCAGTCTGAAGCAAAATAGACTTTTTCCCTCCCTCAAATTTAAAATCCTAAGAATAAAACATTTCTTCTTAGACTTTCCAACAATTAATCACTTCTTTGCTCCCTATTAATTCTGAATAATCCTCAATTGAATCCCTACGGACAGACCCCTTAGCCCAGGTAGTGTCAAAGGACTCAGACACCAACGTCCACTGTATTCAGTTGCAAGAATCAGCTATAACTTTTAGCATCGCACTGATACAGATAAGGTTCCCTTAGGGAGAGGTATTAATCAATTAAAAACCCTGTTGCCGAACAAATAAGTAAACAGTTGACTTTATGTATCAATGTTTTCAGCAACAATAAACTAAATGAATTAACCCAACCTTGTAAAACTGTCCTTCAAACTTACCAAGCCTAGGAGCAAAATGGACTTTC